AGCATCAAGCAAGTCATCTATACGAGGCAATGGGTAAGCATTCTTTCTTGTGATGCGGTTTAGACCGCGATAGTCAATACACATGCGGAGTTTGCCTCCTTTCTTTGACACAAACAACACAGGAGCACCGAATTCAGATTCACTTGGTTTGATCCACCCTTTGTCAATCATCTCATCGATCTGCCACCGGAGTTCCTCCAACTCGTCGGGTCCCATACGGTACACGCAGCCCTTTGGAGGAACAGCACCCTCGACCAACTCGATGGTGTGTGTCGAACCGGTCGCGTGGGGATTCCACGTGGCTCGACCAAGACTTCCGGAAACCGATCGAGGAGGGCTTGGATGTCTGTGGGGAATCAGCAAAGGGATCACCAAAGTCCGGTCGCAAGTCGCGTATAGAGACGACCGAATCTGAAGTAGGATCATTTGGACTATCGGAGGGTAGAGAGGTAGAGGTGCTAGTAGTAGAAGTGCTAGAAGTAGGAACATTACTCAAGGTAGTGGTGGTACTAGCCGCAAAAGTAGAAGGCACATGAGCAGGACGAACAAAGGCAACATACATTTGTTCTTCCTTCTTGTGCTTGCGCCACTTCTTGCAGAATTTCAATGCATTTAGAAACGTCACTGGGGATTCGTGCTTCTCATCCAAGAGGACAGGAAGCTCGTTCCCCTGAGCATCTTTGACCATGAAGAGTGATTCCTTCCACTTGGTCTATTCGCATTGGGACTGCAGCCATCCCAAGCCAAGGACAGCGTCGAAGGGGCACTTGTCAAGGACAAAGAAATTCAGTGCATGGGTGACAGTCTTACCTTTGTCAAAGGTAGTGCGCACACCTTTGACTGCATGTGTAGAAGAGACAACTTCTTTGTTGCCAACTTAGGTCCGACAAGGATTCTGCTGGGCCACTTGCTTCATCCCCAAGCCCACCTTGCGTATCCCATGTGGTGACATGAAATTAGTTGTAGCACCGCAATCAACTAACACACGGAGATAGCGGTGGTTGATGAGAAGTTTAAAAAAGATTAACTTCACCGTCCCTTGGGCCCGTTGTTGTTTCATTTCAGCCCAATGCTCCAAGTGGTAGTGGAAGTCGATCATCTCAGACTCCTCCCAAGGCTCGTCATACAATACGTTACTTACCGCAGCCTTGTCTTCAGCAGATGGTTGGGCTTCAAGGGAGGGCTGCTGATTTTCATCAGATCCTAACTCCCTTGTTGTAGAGTTTGCTGAATCTGACTCTACGCCCGGTTCTGGTTTCACTGCAACCTATAACAGTCTTGGACCTTGTGATTTGGCTTTTGGCAATGCAGACAAACCCCCTTCTTGAGTCTGCCCCGCCAGTCATTCTCAGTGATCCGGAGGTCAACCCATGGTTTGGTAGATGCATCCTCCGGTTTAGGCGGGATCTTAACTCCTTTGGGGAGTTGGACATAACTCTTTCCGGCACTCCGATTCGGTCCCTTAGTACTCGCAGTCTTTTTAAAGGCAGAAAATTTTTCTTCTTCTTTATTTGCATCGGACTCATAGGCTGAAGAACAAGTTGTATCGGAGTCCTGTTCTTGGTCATCACCAAGAGTGGGGTCGGCCTCCAACAGGTCATGCACAGCAAAACGGTTGCTGCCCTTGAACCGTCTGCCGCCCATGGGCTTTTTGCTGCCTGCCGTGCTAACGAGGTCCATGGCCTCGAGACTGACTACATCCTTCATTAAGGCAAGCCAGTCAGTATAAGCAATGTAGTCCCTGCCCAGGCGACTAGTGAAGTTAGTGGGAACCGCGCCCTTGACCACATCTAAGCAAGATTGAGTGGACAACTCCAAACCGGGAGTGGCAAACAGCTTGCTTAGATAGGTCTGCAGGCTTTTCATGGAGCCATTCCACTTGTTGTGCTTTACTTTATCCAGTTGAATCCTCGCTTTAGCAGCAACATGTGGATCCTGGTATTCTGAGATAAGGAGTTCTTCGAGGGAGGCAACCGGGGTGGACCTTAGCCATTTGGCTAGTGCAGACTTTTGAAACCCAGCCCACGTTGCTTGGACTTCTAGGAAGCCCCGTACGACTGGCTCGACATTCATACCCATGATAACTGCCTGGGTCTCAGCTTGAGTCCCCAGGATCTCAAAGTAGGCCCTCATGGAGCCGATCCAGGACTCGATGTCTTCCTTGCCATCGTACTTGGACGGTATTTGAACCGCCTTCCGGTCCACATAGGGACTGGCATGGCTGGGACCAGCAGCAACTGGTTCCGGTCTTGGGGCTGCAGCAATTGTAGAAGTTCCAGCCTCATTGCTTGTTACAGCAACAATGGAATCTGCACCTGCTGCAGGTCCTGAAGGAGTTGCCATCACACTCGAAGATGAGGTAGAAGAAGACACAGTAAGAAGGGCAGAGGTAGTTTCGATTGCAGCTTCAGTTCCAGGAGGTAGAGAAAGAGGGTTGGGCACTTGGGCTTGTCGCAGATCCGCCACCTCCTTCGTCAGTTCATGGTACTTGAGGGTCATCTCAGCCAGATCATCCTGAAGTGTCTGCAGTTTTGCAAAGACTTCAGCGATCTGAGTGGTATGGTCCTCAAGATTCCTGATTTGAACAAAGGCTGTGAGGATGGACTGCAACTGTTCCCCGCACTGCTCTTCGGTCAATGAGGGAACAATCTCTAGGAGGACTACTTGCCTTCTCAACAAGGCCTCCTTCCTCTCCTTCTCGGACTCCTGTTCCCGTTTTATAGCACCATCCAAGAGTGCTTGCAGATGTGGTTTCTCAGCATCACCGGCTGCATCTAACAAGGTCCGCCGTTGCGTCGAATTTAGCTGGGCCATCTTTGGACTGTCAGTGTGGGCAGGTAGATCAGAGAGTCGCCAAACAGCAAAATAATCAATGAGACTCTCAAGAGGTTCACTCCCCCCGCGCTTAGACAAACACTCCTTTTCCCAATACTTGCCCACCTCAAACTATCACTTTCCCTCTCTCCCTATTCTCTCTCCCTCCTCTCTCTTTCTTCTTTCTGATTGCGAGTCTCCACGGGCATCGGAAATGAACTCAGAAAAACAGATAAAGCTCAGAGAAAAGAAGGTAGAACTCCTAGCCAGAGCGGCATTTCATTTGGAAGCAGAGAACAACATAAGAAACAATCAAACTCAAAGAGAGGTCTGATCCAGCGACCCAGTCTGATCAGGCTGCATACGAGGTCCTCTCGAGTCCAGCCTGACGAGCTCCGTGTCCGTACAGCAAATCAGACAACGAGTGACCAAATGCAACAATGGAGAATTGAGTGGTGTACAGGGTGCGAGTCAAGCCACGGATGGTGCAATCAGAATACAAGCGAAACGTCAAAGCCAAGATTCCCTCGGCAGTGGGTGTCCTAATCCAAGAAGAATGAACTCATATCCCATCCAAGAAGACAAGAGGTCAATGCCTAACCGATTTGGGTCCAGAGGCTCTCCTTGTTTGGGCCCGGTTCCGCTGAGTCCGAAGGGTCCCACTCGGTCCCAAGGGTCCCACGTAGGTCTCAACCAGGTCCCAACCAAGAGGAGTCCCACCTGAACTTAGTTCAGTCTCAACTGCACTGAAAAACGAAATTTCAACTTCTGGCAGAACCTACAAACTACAACCGTTCAGTGATGAAAAGACAAAGCACTGTAGAAAGATTCGGCATGTATARCAAGATACTTCATTTTCCATCCATCAGGTGAGTAGGTAGATCACATGCATCCAGTCACACAATCAAGACCACAAAGGAGTAGGAAAAGAAACCCAGAGTACCCCATCAGGACAATCAATACCATACACACATACATGGGCATCCCGTAGGTGCACGACACTTACCTGAGTGGCCTTGAGCTTCGAGATGAAGAGAACTCACCCCCCTTCTCATATGGTCCTCCTGACCCATCTAACGCTACCCCTACACTAGTGTCCTATCTCCTAGGAGGGTCTGACTCCAACACCCAAGTGCAACGCCGGATCCCCCGTCGATGCTGAAGAACAA